CCCACTGTATATATATATATATATATATATATATATATATATATATATATATATATATATATATATATATATATTCAGTATGTAAAGTACAGTAATTACAAACACTGCAGTTATTTTTATTATTTATTTATTTACGACTGTACATTATATCAGTTACTGCTTGTCTACTTAACAACTAAATAAGCAAAATGCAAATGTGAGTCAGAATGATTTGATTATGTAAGAGGAAAGATACCACAGAAGATGCTTGGAACTTCCAAAAAAGTGTAGTTAGCTGCTTGTCAATAGTCAGTATATCATTTTGTGGTCATTACATTAGCTGTGTAATAATTAATTAAAAAGAAAAGAAAATTTATTTTTGCATGTCTATAAGATAAAGCAAGACACTGCTTACCAAGCAAACAGCCCACACACACACACACGTGAGATTCCTGAATAAATATGAAACTTGCCCTTAACTGAAACGCCTACTCTAAGAAAAGCAATCAAACTGGTCTGTAACAAAGAAACAGGAACTATCTAGACCCATCCTTAAAATTCTCTCACAAACATGTTACCTGGACTCTTTGTCTGTGTCTCCAGTGCCATTCTCACAGGACGGTGACGGCAAGGAGCAAACTGAATCCCGGCTCCTGGGTAACAAAGTAGAGGGCATACACAGCCATGTCTCCAGATCAGAGAATTTGGAGTAGCTCAGCATTTCTAAAACACTGCAGTATAGGAATACAAAGACATATCATGTCAGTCGTGCTTTTTTAAATATATTACAGTAACAAATAGTGTATAATTTAAAATATATATGAAAAAAGAATGTGATCAAGTATATATATATATATATATATATATATATATATATATATATATATATATATATACACACACACTTATAGTACCTGTCCTCTCCCATTCCTGGGATTTCATATTTGTGACAACCACATGGTGTTCGTGATTCCTGTGGAGCCAGCAGGCAAGTTTTCTCAGTCTCATAAGACATCTTGTGCCATTTCTGAGGAAAACAGAACAACCTGTTAGTGCACTGTATGCTGATCATTTTCTTCTACAGCCACTAACGAAGCCAAATTACACAGCCAATTATCCACATGGCTAATGTTTTGGACCTGAGGTCACTTGGCACAGGTCCCTGCTGGTGGTGCCAAACCGAATCTGGCAAATCAAGCCTGCACACTGTATTAATGCTCATACAGTACATGTCTTTTAAGTTTTAATACAAAATGTGAATTCTGTCCTGTCCTAGCATTTTAAATATGAAATAATAAACGTAGAAATATTAAATGTTACCTTTGACATTTTGCTGTTTCATGATGAATTGTTTTACTGTTTACATTTTACTGAAAAGTCAAACCAGGCAGGTTCCATTGTGACAACTTACTCCATATGGTGTGACAGCATTTCGTGGTAAATGTTTAAATGAAATGAATCTTTTTCCCCCTGGGCAATAACGGTGGAAATGTTCAATTTTGTGTAGCTTTAATGTATGTTACTATACAGAAACTGACTTTCAAAAATAAACTATCATGATAAACATTCACTCCCTTAATCACTACAGATATGCCTTTGAGCAAATGAGCTTTAGCAGACTTGTGGTTTCTTTAAAATCTCCTCACACTTTTCCCATCACAACACTGTTCATATCCCACATGTATCCATCTTTAATTACTCCTCTTCCTTTCATATAACACCCCACCTTCAACTGCAAATAGTCCAGTTGCTATGTACACTGTAAAGTTGACAGATTTTCACTCTACATCCAGTGCAGACAGCTTCACTGAATACGAACACGGACTCGTTTGGAAAAGGAGGGAATGTACCTCTTTGTTCTCCGGTTCTGGACTCAAGGAACCGCTGCGGATCCTCAGAACATCTGCATCCTCTTCCCGTAAAACCCTGAAACTGGACTCAAAACTTCCCGTTACGTGTCTTCCACTCGGGCGTAGTGAAAAGTCTAACGCCTGCGAGTGTATTTGGGAACAAAAGCTAAAGATTTCTGCAAAACTCACCAAATATGATCCCCGTTCGCCATCAGGAAGTGAAGGAACCCTGTCATCTGCTCCGAGGATATGCGCTTTTCATCTCTGTTCAATAACTATAAACTATGTTCCACGGAGTAATAGCCTATGTTTTGCTAACGACCGTATGAACGCTAAAATGTCGATTTTCGTTTAAACCCGTCCTGTCCAGATTTTTTGTGCTTGTCAGTGTAAGATAAGACAGGAAATATTTATGTAGTTATCCAGGAAAATGAGAGACTGCAATTATCTCTCATAAACATCTTCATGTTGATGTAACCAAAGAACATCTCAGCCATTTCCACCAAACAACATGATGACTAGCCTCATTGATATACTATAAAGTTTTTGTACATTCATGAGAAATATGTAACACTGTTAATTCAACTACACACACAACCCTCTGCCAAACTAAGAGAGCGTCATGTGATTATTCACTGGTTTTATTAAAGTACTTTTTTTTTTTTTTTTGCAGGTTTTAGCTATTTCATTTGTCAGAAATATGCAGCTATTGTTAAAACTGCCTGTAAAAAGTTTTGTAAATTAATCTAAAATGCACTTTATGTGATAACTTCTAAATAAGATGATTTTACTCAAGTCAAATTAAGCATTAACATAGTGATTTTAAAAGGCTGGGAAGGGACATACTGTAAAATACTTCTGAAAATTAAATACATTTAATGCTGTTTTTAAACATTACAGTCCAAATAATATAGAATTATACATTTATAATTTATCTTCCATTTTACAGTTTGTGTCTTACTTGATAAATTACATGTAAAAGATCCTCAAGGTCAGCAGACATTTCACTTTTAGATAAAGATTGATGCTTTTACCAAGTCATGTGAGTATGACACCCCTTTTAATATTTTCCCAGATATTGGGCCCACTCACTCCCTGCGGATCAAACTTTTTTCCCTGTTAGTCACTATAAAGACCACATGAGGGAGCTTTAACCAATGCAAATCTTCAGATCTCCTTACTAACAGCTTCATGAATCCACCTGAAGTTTTTTCAGCAGACAAAAGTTATTTTCTGATAAATCAGAGATTTAGTGAGTCTCTAGACTTCTTCATGCATTACACAGATCACAAGAGCCCGAGCACAACACCCAGTAATGGGAGTGGGAATAAGATGAAAGAGGCAGAGAGCATTGAACATCTGTCTGTAATTGACGGCATGGCCAGGGAATCTAGGGGAGTGTGTGGCCTTACAGCTGTGGTGCACAGATTTGTTTTCGTTCCTTGGATACTGTGGCATCCTGGTGCTTCAGAAACTGACCCACCACAGGAACGATTCCGTATGATTCCAAAGGATATGTGCAGTCAGTATGTAGAGGGTTAAGTATCAAAGTAGTCTTTAAAAGAAGAGAAACATATTGAAAAAATACTTCGTTGCAGTCTGGTTACCACTCCAGGGCACCTATGCTTCATCTCATGGTAAGTCTGAAGCTTTATAATTTATGCATTAAACTTGCTGCATCATGACTGTAGTGAACTGGTAGCTAATTTTACTAAGATATTTTTGTAACTTTGCTGTTTTGTAAATCTGCTCATACAATATCTTTCAAAAGTTTAGGGTCGGCAAGATTTTTTTAAATGTTTTTGAAAGAAGTCTCTAACCAAGGCTGCATTTATTTAGTCAAAAAACATTAAAAACAGTAATATTGTTCAATTTTATTATAATTTAAAATAAATATTTTCTATTTTAATGTATTTTAAAACATAATTAATTTTAAGCAGCCATTAATCCAGTCTATAGTATCATACAATCCTTCAGAAATCATTCTAATATGTTGATTTGGTGCTAAAGTATAACTTTTTCTTATTGTTATCATTACTATTATGTTCAAAACAGCTGTGCTGCTTAATATTTTTGTGGAATTTTTTTTTTCAGGATTCGTTGATGATTGGAAAGCTCAAAGGAACATCATTTACTTGAAATAGAACTTTTGAACAGTACATTATTACATTTTTATTTATTTTCATAACTCTTAAAATGATAAGCAGTCTTAAAATGACCAGATTACAAAACAAAGTGACTATTTTACTTTTTTCATTCAGCCTATATTTTTAGGATATAGATATACTTTATTAATCTCCTGGGGGAAATTACAGCAATATAAAATAAATCTCAGTATAGGAACTATAGCAATAATATACAGCATCATACAATACAACTCAAAGCTAATCCAAAATATTATTGTAAAATTATTTTTTTAGTGCAAATATTGTACTTGATGAATTTACATAGTGAATGACTGAGCAAATTAATAGATAGCAATAATAAATAATACCACAAAGATATGTACATGGATGGATGAATCAATGAATATACATGAATAAATATAATAATTCACTTTTCATCTAAGGATTTGCAACAGGTTTACATAAAAAATTGGTTGTTATTTTTGATCTTAGAAATGCTGATACAAACTGAAACAATCACAGCATTGTTGGTAAAGAGCAAGAGGAACCTGAAAATAACCAAGCAAATGTGAATTAAACATCCCAGCAACTTTCACTGGACCATGAGCGCTGATCATTCTGTGCTGAAGGGTTCAGCCCTGGTTAATGGAGCAGAGCTGGCCACAGCCACTGGAGGAGCGGAGGGGTCCTGCTCTCGCTGTACTCTTCCATTCGGTGTTGTTCTCCTGATCATTGGCGTTGCAGTCACAGCAGTGGCCTACAGCTGCAGCACCCACGGATCGACCATCTCCATTCTGGGACTTCTGCTCCTCACCAGTGGACTGTTGCTTCTGGGCTTCAGTGCAATATGCAGAAGATGCAGAAAGAGAAGAAAAATGGACAAAGCGTGGGAGAGTCAGACTGACCTGGTAGAGAGTTTGAGGAATAGTTTTGATTAAAATATGTTTGGAAATGTATTCATTTAAATTCATTTGTCATTATAATTCAATTTAGTAAAATAAGATATTTTCTAAATATTCTGTTTTTTTAAGTGAAAAAATAAAAACATATTCAGCATGCACAATGCATGAGTTCTAGGCAAGTGCCTATGCTCGCTCATCAGGGGGGGCCAAACTCAATGAAGAGATATTAAATTTTTTGTTAGCCTACGACGGGCTATCTACAACAGTAAAAGAAACAAAACCCCAGAAGACATTGAGCAAATAAATATAACAAACAATAGGGTAAAAAATGACAAAGTATTTCCATGTCTTCCACCTTTTTTATGTAGGCTACGGAAATAACGCTTTCTTTCTCTCGTTCTCTCTCACAGACAAACACACACGCACTCGCGCACACACGCTGAGACGCGACCAGAAACTTGTTGTCAGCGCTGCCCCGTGAATTTATCAATAAAATAGTTTCGCAGCTGAAAAGCTACATGACTTTTCTCAGTAGCGAGGTTCTTGAAGCAGTTTAACTTAAAGATTCGCTATTAGTAGACGCTGCGGCTAAGTACGTTGGACTGCATTAATAACTGCATTAGCCTGCATATCAATGGCTCAATGCTCTAAAATGACATTTTGGAATTTCCAATGGAAGGTTTTTGCAAAATAAGCTACATAAAACATTTGTTCAACACACACCAGATTTCAGGACGGAAACATGTCTTGAAATAAACCATCTTAACAATGTCTTGATGTGTGGTTGTGAGTGTGACTCCAGGCCGTTAAAATTATTAGAGAGATAATGCACTCCTGAAGTTATGTGGCCACAACGCTGCACCTATATGGAATGGTCTTTCTCAGTTCTCAAACTACATTCGATTTTTATTGATTGAACTCAAGCGCTTATTGCGATAGAAAACACTGTAACGGTTTCTACTGATTAAGAAATATTTTTGTTTGCTTAGGTGGTACTAATGTTAGGCCTATTATATTAATAAGGAAGGGGGGCCCAAAAAATAGTTTTGCCTGTCACGAAAAGAGGTAAATCTGGCCCTGCATGAGTTTGATCAGTGTTGTTTTTTTTTCAATGAACCAGCAGTGTTTAAAGTTTCTAGAGAATCAGACTGACCCAGATCACATATTTGCATAAAAAATGCCCATGTTTTGATTAAACTGTACAATGTGCATGGCATTTGAGGTTAAAACAATCTAATTTGAATGGAAATGTTGGTGACTTCAAATCACATAAAAACCAGAGCAGCACATTCATTCAGATTCCAAACAGATTATGCTCTGTGTCATGTATGCTTTGCATGGCCCCCATCTGTGACCTTCTTTTTAAGATCGCAGTTATTTTTTTAGTCCATCTGGTACCTTTACACTATAATCCTTGTCAAACCATAAACCTTGGGCAGGTGGTATGTGCTAGTGTTCACTGCACAGCTGTAAACTGTAATAGATGCTGATGGACAGATCAAGATGTGAATAGGCAAATGTTGCAACCCCAGATTAAGAAAAGCATTCTACTTTGTCTTTCTCCTCCATTAACACAAACATCAACATGAACAATAGTGCATCCTTGGTTTACCTTTGTGTATACCACCAAATATCACATTTCAGTTTTATTTTTATTGCTGACACCTGTTAAAATTACTTATTTGTAATATTGCTTAATATTTTTTGTCACTTTTGTAGTGTACTTTGGCTTAAAATTCATTATACTTACATTACTACAGTATTTAATACACACACACACACACACACACATTTAAAATACCTCCAAATGCAGCTTTAAATCTGAGTCCCCAGTCTGAGTCTGTCCCCAAACACACTTAGTATGCCTTTTATGATGTCAATAATAAATCATTATATATACTTATTAATGCAAATTATTGTTTTCTGTTGCTGTTGTTTTTGGTGATGAAACTCTAATAATGACAAACAGCATAACACTTGATATAAATCCATAAAAAATGTATGAATGGCAAATTATATATATATATAAATATATATTATATACGGTATATTATATATTATATTATATTATATATATACATAAGTTATATTTTCCCAAATTACCTTCAAAAACAACATTAAATGTGCTTTTTGTCTTAGGTGTTCTGTCACAGTCCATTTATGAGATAAAATGCCAATTTTAATAGATACTGTCTCAAAAACTCATATTATGCTTTAAATACAATAAATCATTATTATATGTGTGTGTGTGTGCGTGTGTGCGTGTGTGTGTGTATATATATATATATATATATATATATATATATATCAATATACATTGAATCTGCTTTTTGGCTTGAGTGTTATGTCACGGTCCAATAATAATGACATAACTAAAAGTCGTTCATTACACAATACTTAGTGAAATCCCACATTGACGTGCTCTTGGCAAAAGGACACGAGGTGGGACATGCTAAAAATTCTACTCCACCCTTTTACCATCTCTGCATAATTTGGCCAAAGCCATCGTGCAATGTGCAGTTGGCAAAATAAAATGGCAGCTTAAGCTATTAAAGTGAGCATCATAATCATTGGCTGCAAGAATTCAAGTTTGGTGGAATAGAAGGGGAGGGATTAAAGTCTTTGAACGGCAGAAAGAAATCTCCACTCTGATCTCTGCACAGGGCCCTGCTGGTGCTCACCGGGATATCCCTACTACTGCAAGCTTTGCTGAAGAGCCCGACGGGAGTCCATGGTGCCCACATTTCTCTCAGAGCTCGGAGTCAGGGATGCAGCTTCGCCATGGGTTTCATGGAGTTTTATCTGGAGATTGATCCAGTCACTCTAAACCTTATCATCCTCATAGCCAGCTACGTCATCCTGCTTCTGGTCTTTCTCATCTCTTGCATCCTGTACGACTGCCGTGGCAAAGACCCTTCCAAGGAGTATGTTTCCGAGCCCCCTGCCCCCCAGCAGCAGTCTCCCATCCGGCTCGTGGTGATGCAAAACTCCCCGGCCTCATCGCGTTATAATGAGCAGAACAACACAGCTGCCTCCAGCTTCGCACCTCTGACCCCTGACATACGCGAGAAGAGGAGCACGCTGGTCTGACACATCCGCAGTCTGCTGATGAGGGACCCTCTCTCGTTTTTCCCATTTGGACACATATTCAATCTTCTTGAAGTTAATAAATGTTCAAATGTATTAAACCTAATTTGAGCTGAAACAGGTAAGATACAAATAGTTCTCACTGACCAGAATATATGACCCATTTAATGTTATTTATTTTTACTCATATTTGTCCAAGGTGCTGTCATTTGTACAATTTTGACACGAGAAATTGTTTTCATTATTAATAATGGGAAAACCCCAAAAATATGTTGCATATTGATATTATTCAGTATTGTTTGTTTTTAAAAAAAATCTTTATAGATCTGTTATTTTGTGCAAC